TAACCCACAGCAAAACGCCTGTCAGTTGTTCTCAGGTCATTTAATCTTATACTAGAGTCTGCATTCTTTAGCAACACTAGCTGTTCAAACCTTAAACTGGCAAAGGCAGACTAATAAGAAAAACAAACACTTAAATTCCTTCCATGTTCATCTTCTTCCAGCAGTTCCAGCAGTTGTAGGTCTCAATAAAGTATTAGACATTTGCTGTTATAAAGTGTTTCTCCACTCCAAAACTGGGCACTGGATACTATCTGGAAATTTTCAGCTCCACTGAAACCAAAATTTCATCGTGGATCAGGTTCTTGGTATTTATGAGTAGTTACTCTCTTGGTTCTGATTCTTTCAAAATTCTCCATACCTCCATACTGATAAACATTTAGGAAATGATGGGAAAAATTCCTGAAATACTTCTTCCTAATATGTTGTTCTTTAACAACGTTATTTTTGAAACTCTTGACAGAGCCCAAGCCCTTATTCTTGAGTTTTGAAATCCTAAAAGAATATACACACTCAGAACTAAGAGTTTCAAATATTTAAGCACACAAAATCCTAGGATGGGCCCATCCTATCTAGACATTTTAGATAGTTATTTACCCTTCTCTCTTTATAAACACAAGCAATACCACTACTGTGATTAAGGAAAGAAGAAACAAGGAAACACACACACACTCACTCTCTCTCTCACATATAGCTCCTCCTTTGATGGATAAGAATATCTACTACACATTGTTCCATGTTTACTTGATAGTAGCACAACAGCCTGGTTGAATGATTACGAGGTGTGGTGTCCAGAGTTATCAGCTTCAATTTAATAATTTTGATTTCATCACTCTTTGAGTCCTAAAAGCATTCTTAGAAATTATGTGGTTACTGATGAGTATCTTTCTGGACTTAGTGCTCATAACTGAATTACAGTCCACTTTTAATGTAACTTGTGAAGCTCCTGTAATAAATAGTTAAGGTCTATCTACCCAGGTGACATAATAGAAATTTTACAGAATTTGGACTGGACTCTAATATTAATTACCCTTCTTCCAACCTGACTTTAAGATACTCAACTTTCCATACAATATACAAATGGTTAACACTTTGAGATAGCTCAAGATATACAATTTCAAAGGCTAACAGATCAGATAATAGGGAATGCAAATCTTCTGGACAAAGTTCAGACTTATAGAGGCATTTTTCAATTCTAAACAACCATTAGTACAATGGAGTACTAAAAGCACTTACTGCCATTTTACCAATTCAGATGTCTGTGGCAACATAAAGTATTTTTACAGCACTGCTGAAGCTCACTCTCACACGGGGGTCACACCAGGTCCCTGCTTCTTGGGTGAAATGCTGTAGAACCACTACAGGAATCACTCTCTGAGGATGCCTAGGATCCCCACACTTCTACATGAAGCCTTCTAAGGGGCAACTGGGTTTTCCCAACTTGTTCTCTGAAGGAGAGACAAAGTAAAATAACCACCACAGCTGGCCTTTAGTTAAGTGATTTACTTTTAAATTATTTTTAAAATATAACTTCTGGGCTTTTATTTGACTAGCATCATCAAATCAAAGTTTTGATTTTATCTCCCATCTCTTTTGACTGCAAGGCTTTTTTACCCTGCCCAAGCTTTCCTTTTTCTGAAGCTGGCAAAAAACAAAACAGAAACATTATTTCATCACCCTGCGTATTAGGATATGGCACCATGAAATCTCCAATGCCAGAGGGTAAAATATTTTGTACTGAACAAATTAGCATTGGTGAGTCATATCTTGAATGTCCTGTTAGAATAATTCATCAAACATTTTAACAGCTATGGCTCTCACTTTCTACCAGGTTATCAGGAAAGCAAGCAGGTAGTAAACTGTTTTAAAATATAAATCCAATATGATGTTGCAGGAAACAAACGAGAATTTAAGTCCATTTCCTCAGTGAAAATTACCTAAAAACCAAACTGATTAAGTCTATTCATATCTTTCCATAGAAAAGACTGAAATTCTCTTTACTCATCCAACTGTTCTTAGATCTAAATTTTAAGTTTTCCAACAATTTTCACTAAACAATGATCAAATAATAGCTTTCACACTTCTCCATCAGGTGGAAAAAAAAATTTTAATAGCTGAAAACAATTAAATACAAAATTTAATTTAAAAGTTGATCAACAAATGTTTGGCATTTGCTTTAGCCAGGAAAGAACAATGATTTTTTTAAAAAGTATTCCAAAAGATTTTTCAGCTAGTTTCCTAAAGATGAGTTATGGGTTTTTCTTGTGTTTTTCTTTTTTTTCAATCTCTCTTAAGTTTGTAGACACCAGGTTTAATATGGTTTTTATCACATGAAAATCACTTCAGTGGTCCATCAATCCCGTTATCTTTTTTCTTTTCCTTTAGAAAGAGAAAGCATTTGCCACCTTTACGCCAACCTGGATGACAGCTGGTTGTATCATTTCTTTTCCAAAGCATTTTAAACTGGTTTATCACATTATCAAGCTCATCAAAGCACAATAAAAACACTAGATCATAATGAGAAAAGAAGGAAGTTTCATAGTTTTGAGTATATTCAATTTTAAGAAGCCTGAATATATACCAATAACTACTTAAAAAACAAATTGTCCACATTTGAAAAAAAATACGTCTTAAGACAATAAACCAGATCTACACAATAGGTAGTGTCTGAATTCTCCAATTCCTTATATTAAATCTACTAGGATAAATCCAGTGGCTTGAAGGTTAATTTTTCGAAAATTCTGCATCCGTTGCTGGTTAGTTCCGTAAGGTCTCAAGCGCCCAAGGTACGCGTTTGAGATTTCACAAAGTATTCAAAGAAGGAAAATAACTTAGAGAGGCGGGAAGAACGCACTTAAAAGTGACGAGCTAGCTTCCTAACCTCCTCCGGTTCCGAAGTTTCCCCGTGAGCTCATCGCTACTGCCCACTAAATGCTTCGTGTGCAAATAGAAACGAAGCAGGCAAAAAATAAGTTCCAGCCTAGATCTTCCAAAAAGGGGTCCCCCCACCCAAAGTGGGCGGGCAAGAGAATTGCCATCGGCTACAGTCATTTTCAAGTTTCTAGCAAAAAGCAAAAACCAACACCCCAATGAGTGACTCATCTGTGGGGTTTGTAAGCGGACTTTGTTTGCGCTCTCCACTTTCTGTCTCCCCACTCGGCTGGAGGAAACGTTCGAGGTGGGCCGAGAGAGAAAAGAGCTCCGGGAGGAGGTCGGGCCTCCAGGAGTCCCGGCCCCCACCGCTCCCCCCTCGCAGGCCCGGCCAGGCTGGGGGATTCCCCGAGCTGAATGGGACGGCGGGAGAGCTGGACAGGGAGAGGTGTCAGCTGCCAAGGCTCGGCTGAGGCTTGGGAAAGAAAAAATGTAAATCCAGTGAAAAAGTTTGGGGAGGGGAAACACACTCACAACACCCCCCTCCACTGGGTGAAAACGAAGGGGGGCGGCGGGAAGGGGGAGTGGCAGGGAACCTGGAGATACCCGCTATTCACAGGGATGTGGGAGGGGGGTCAGAAAGTCAACATACACACGCACACACAAAAAGAGAAGAGGGGGAGGTGGAAAGAAACAAGAGCGAGCAGAAGATGGATAAAGTGGGGGGACGAGACTCAGAACAGGACCTGGGGACCCCCCTCACCCCACGGTGCGGGACCTGGCTGGCGCGCAGTGGCCGAGCAGCCCGCGCTATCCAGCGGCCCGGCGCCCTCCTTTCTCTGGGCCGCGGGGTGGTGACAGCGACCAGCCTCCTCCCTTCCCCTTCAGGGCGGGAGAGAAGGGTGTGTGTGTGTGTGTGTGCGCGCGCGTGTGTGTGCTGGGGGGGCTCCGGGTTCACCCCAAGGCCTGCTCTCTCCCCCGCACCCCGTGAGGCCGCCTCCTTTCACCTCGGCAGCCCAGATCCGCCGGGGCGGGCGGGCGGAAAAACAAAGGGGGATTAAGGCCGGGCCGGAGAGCGGAGCCGGGAGGGAGGGGAGGAGGAGCGCCCGCCCGCTCGCCAGCCCGGGGCCCGGCCCCCCTGTCCCCCCCGTACCCCCCCCGGGAGGGCCCCCAGTACCTGGAACAGGAACGCGGTCCAGTTGGCCTCCATGGCTGCGGCGGCCGACCCCCCTCCTCCCCACTCCCCCCGCTCGGGGAGCCTCCTCAGCCGGAGGAGGCGACAACAAAGCGGCGGCGGCGGCGGCGGCAGCGGCAG